AATTTGTTTTCAATATTGAAATATAACCAGTATATAGTAAAATTATCGTAGATTTCATTTCTGCTGTTATTTTAGCTTAGTTTTAGGGATAAATTGACGTATTTTTGGATTGTTTCCATGTGTCCATGTCGATATTGGGATTGAAGTTGCCTACCTTAGGATATATATATATATATATATATATATATATATATATATATATATATATATTAATATATAATGCCTGCATTGCCTGAACATTGTCAGGCACGCGAGTCGCCATTGGGCTGCCTATGGCCTGACAAAGTTTCTTTAAATTTTTTGTGCTCTTTATACACCTTAAGATAAGCCATTTTCGTATACGATAATATAAATCGGTAAATAGGCGGAGAAGAAACCTATTATCCTCATTAGCAATTTGAGAAGAATAAGGCCAAGATTCAAACAGTGCAGGCACATTCTCAACTATTTGCTCTAGTAAATCACTGTCCGATTTACGCGTGCTACTTCTGAAGTGAAAAAGGTTAAGATATGGTCTAATGGTCATTTCCAACGTACAGAAATAACTAAGTAATAATGGTTCAACTGTAGATAAACCACCTCTGTTTAAAGACGCTGTAATTAGATTGGGGTAGGACAAGACGGAAGTTTCGGCTCCAGATAAAAAACCCCTAAATGTTTTTACAATTTTCGCCAACCTTCACAGTTTGCTTGCACGTTTGGTGTTGTGGAGTGTTCGTTGGCTTTGCAGTATCGTTGCAGTTTATCTCTTGTTTTCCTACAAACATATCCAGCAACATAAGCTACAATAGATTGATCTATCGACCTAAGAGTGGTGTTGTTGTCAGTTTCTCCATTGAATTTCTCATTAATATTCAAAGCGTTGCAAACGGAAGTGGATCTGAAATTATTAATACTATCATAAAGCGCCGAAATAATTTTCTGCAACAGCAAATTTCCTTTAGGACAGCCACACCCTCTCAATAGTTCGGTCCAGGAAGTAATTAACAGTTCAGAGGTTCTGTATTCCGTTAAATGCTGGGCTATGTATTTATGCCTCACAGCAGAGCTCGCACGAAAATCCAGAGCAAAGATGATTGCCCACAGTTTTTGTGTTACACTCTTTAAGAAATCGGAAAAAGTGGACGGACTACCTTGTAATTGTGTATAGAGTTGAATGGCCTGAAGCTTTAAATTAGCAAACCGTGTTCCCCTAAGTAAAGCTAGATCGGATGAAGTAGTGGAAATTCCGCCGAGGAGTTTTGACACAGTCTGTAATCCATCATTTGCAAAGTAGTCCAACGCTCCGAGGCCAGCTAGAACTTCTCTTGTTTTTATTTGGTGCTCGGTCATAGGGCGATGCTTTCTGCGCTTTTTCTTAGCTGAGGCTGAGCCGTCACAGGTTCTTTGATGTTTTGCAAACCATATTTTTGAACGATATATCTTTCTACATTTCTTGCAACGCAATAAGTTCACATTTTCGTCCTCACTTTCCGAGTGCGCTTCTTCCTCGCTTTCATTGCTTTTCTCGCATTCATCGATCGCATTTTCCTCATCGTCTAGGGCTTCACTTATTTCTACCATGTCCATTAAATTACTGTCATCCCATTCTTCAAAAATATCTTCTACTTCCATTTTTTCAAAATTTTAAGTGAATCTTATTTTAATTTAAAAAAATCAATAAGTTGTTCAGTATATTGCAAGAAGACCTGAGGCAACTTAACGCAAGCTAACGCAACTTGACGCAAGCTATATCGTGCGTGACGTCACGATTTTCAACAAGGTTAAAATGCTGACGCCATGAGTTTCCTATCCAGTCTTTTAACTATCCATGTTAACATGCAATGGCCTTTCGTCGATTTAAGCCGCTTTGTGTACACTTGTTTGACGGTGTTGTTTCCGTAGCATATTACAGATAGAAGAGATATTTTTGCTTAGAGTATTCGAATAATTGTTAGCATTGATGATATGACATTTACAGTTCAATAAACCAATGTGGAAAAACGAAAATTTGCAGAAAACGGGCTAGTTGCCTTATGACTTTATTATGACTTTATTAAAAACGGTACTATTTCACCAAAATAAATATTTACAAGAATATTACTTAATTAAAAGAAGAGAAAGAAAAAGGGTGATCTTCCAATAGGCCGAGTGCATACACTATATACGTATATTATATAAATTTTGCCAATTGTGAACATTAACATATTTGTTTCATTTTAGTTTTAAAGCTTGAGATATTGCTAGTTGATTTTATTTCAGTGGAGAGGTTATTCCAAGCCTCAGCTCCCCTATAGGCGAAAGCCTTTTTCATACTGTTTGTTTTAGGCTTAGGTAATGCGAAATTGTATTCGCTATTTCTTGTATTATGGGTATGTATAGCATTGGTATTAGTAAAGATTTCAGTAAGGTAATTTGGAGTCATTTTGTTTTTAACTTTAAACATGAGAAGCGCTAGTTGGTGATCTCGTCTGGCTTGAAGGTTAGAGATCCCTACTTTTTTCAAAATATCAACAGATCGAATCTCATAGCTTTCGCGTGTTATAATTCGGAATGCTCGGTTTTGGAGCTTTTGTTATTTGTATGATAAACCCTTTCCTAGGCAGCCCCAAACTTGCGAGCAATAATCAAAGTGTGGTTGACTATTGATTGATATATTGTAATTAGTGTTCTAAAATCCACTATTTCTCGAAGCCGTCTTAGGATGCTAAGGCCTGCATTTATTTTTTTAGTAATTAGGTTCATGCACTTGTGCATTCCATGACAAATTTTCGTCAATATTTACACCAAGAGATTTAGTTACTTTAACTCTGTCTATTTTCCTACCATCAATATGTATGTGAGGATGTGCATCAATTTGATTAATTCTTTTATTAATTGCTACCTAATATCATGTATTCCGTTTTGGAATGGTTTAAAGTTAATTGGTTGGGTGACATCCAAGTTGATATTTTTTCTAAATCATGGTTAAGATTCTCTGCAATTTCATTAATATTTTCACTAGATGTATCGATTTGGGTATCGTCGGCAAACATGCTGGTGCTTGTTCTCTCTAGACATTGAGGCAGATCATTTATGTATATTAGAAATAAAAGTGGCCCTAGAGCAGAGCCTTGAGGAATGCCTGTTTTTACACGAAGTGGTCCAGATGTGTGGCCCCCTACTTTGCAGTATTGCGTTCGGTCTGTCAAATATGACTTGAGCCAACACAGCGCCGTTTCTGTTATGCCGTAAATATCCAACTTTTTGAGTAGAATATCATGATTCACGGTATCGAAAGCTTTTTTTAAGTCTAAGAACACGACACCATTAAGTTTGCCGACATCAATTCCTTCGCGAAGGAATTAAATTTATGCCACGGGTGCGTGCTTGAAATCAGACGGCTAGACTTTACAGAAGTTGCCTGTCGTGATTTTGCAAGCTAGAAGAAGGTTAGAACTAAAAGGATATTCTCATAAGCTTTCTCTCGAATGGCCATCTTTTAGTTTTTACAAATTAAAAACTCGTTGTAAATCTAGTAAATCGAACTTTTATAAAGCCTGGCGGTCGGCCGTGCCGCTGACCAGTCAACTTTGCGGAAAAATTAGCCAACTTTACGGAGCTATTGCGAGCAAACTAAATGAAATAAAACTCTAATTTTTGGCCATGAGCTTAACAATATAACGAAGAAAAATGACCTTTTTAAATTTTTCGATTTTCATTAAAAGCGAAGCGGCCACTCCAGCTCCGGGTTCGCTCGAATCCGGAACCAGTTCCGGTGTCCCGGTCTCGTCGTCGTCGGCTTCCATAGCTGCAGCTCTTTTGGGCGCAAACTTGCTTGAGGATTTAAACTCTCGTTGAACATCATCTTCAACGTACGATAAAGGACGGTTATTCACAGCATCTCCACATCGAGTAAAACCAATGGAGCTATTGAGACTCTGGGAGCTCTCAGACCGTCACACCGGGTTCGCGAACCCGCAGATGAATATCCTGCCATTCATGACGTTATGCAATCTCGAGACGCGACCGCGGGCTCACTGACGGAAACTGTGCATAAGCAGAACAAACTCAGCACAGAACAATCTCAGACCGCTACCACGGCAATTACGAAACCTATCAAATAAAACGTGACTAACACATTGTAAATACAGTATCAAGTTCCCAAGATATTCCCACCAGACGCGACAATCACCTGAAGAGTGTGGTAGACTTAGTTAAAAGCTCCACAATATGTCTAAATTGCAAGACGAATGCGGAGTATTGACCAATCTAATTTCTCGGGGTTATATCTCTTTTGACTGCAAACAACGAAAACCCGAGGTACGAGGATGCCGACAACATTTACGACGGCCGATTCTGGCGATTCAGAGGCTAGATTAAAAAGCTATCTGAAAACTGATTATATATGTATATAGAGATTTATGCACAGCTATATGAAAACTCATTATATGTGTATAGAGATTTATGCACAGTATAGAATGTTGAAATAAAAAATAAAAAAAGGGAAATCATAACTTCATGCAATTTGATTGGACGTACGATATTCTTCACACAATACCATACACAGCTTTTGATTGGACTTGTGCATACCTGTTCAAATCATATTACTCGCGCTGCGCACTCGTGATTGTATATTAGGACCTTAAAGGCTGCTTTCCACTTACACGTTTTTTATACGCACGTACACGTACGGAAAATTTTAAATGCTTTTAAATTTTTATTACTCGGGCTTTCCACGGGAAATGCCCGAGGTATAAAATGGGCTTCGGTTTTCCTTTTTTTTTTTTTTTTGTGTTCATCGCGAAATCGCAGTCAAGACAAAAACACGCATGTGCAAAGGAACATATATGGTCAACACAGGATAATAACTGTGTTTAACATTAACAGTGATTCGGAAGGCACTAGATAGGATCGACTAAAGCCCCTTGAGCCTGCAATCATTAAATATATTATCAGCGGTAATTACCATATTATTTTTATTCTATTTATGAATGCGGAATATTTTAATTATAACTTCCGGTCCTAAATGTAAACAAATTAAATTTCGCGCGAAATTTAAATTAAATGGCGACTGCAACATCAAGCAACCCGTGGGCATCGTTTTTCACAGAACAGTTTGATCGTTTCACAGGATATGTTAAGGACGAAATTACAGCATATGAGCTCATTAAAGCGTACGAAATTGCCACCACTAGTCGCTTCACTGTATTCAAACAAACAACGGGCTTCAGTGACACAACGGGCAACGAAAATGCCAAAACTCATAGAAAACATCGCGTGCGATGGCAAGACCCACAGGAGACCACAGGGTTCAAGCTCGAGTTTGACGGAATCCCATTCGAAATTGCTGGAATAAGAATTCTAGATTGCCAAAATGGACCCGATAAAAATAAAGCGAAGAAAGAAAAGGAGGCTTTAAAGAAGTTTGAACATGCTGTAAGTGCCACAATTGTGTAATCTAATACGTAATACCAACTAATGTAATACTAATGTAATACCAATGTAATACTACAAGGCCTGGGAGAAAGAAATAGTAAATTTATCGCTATTTAGTGCCGTCCTCTTTTCTCCTGGGGTGCATGTAACTCCACAATAAGGTTAACTTCCACAGCTCATAAAGTGTTTTCATACCAAAAGTTCCTACCAAAGGGCAAAAGGTTCTTGTATAAAACCATTTAACATACTATACTTCAAAATAATGTAAAGAAATAATAAAAATATGTTGCTCTTAGGATGGAGTTGATCACAGCTATAATCATCCCAAACGTCGTTTTTTGGTACAAGACACGAAAAGATGCGGCTGTCCTGCCAGAATTCACATGAGAAAAATAGTGAAGTTTCCAGATTTTCAGGTGAGGCTAAAAAAGGTCAATTTCCACTCAGGAAAATAATCCGTGGATTGTACCGGATAAGGGAAAAAAATTCGCGTGCATGCGTCTGGAAAAGAAATTTTCTGATAAAACAACATCGCAGGGCGGAAAATAAAAAGTTGAAATATTTTGGTCCTGAGATATGGAGATTTCCAACTTTTTGGTCCTGAGATATACTAGGAAAATAATTTGCGGATTGGACCAGATAGAACATTTCGCTCCATATGGAGCGATCGAGATGTTCTATCTGGTCCAATCCAAAAAATTATTTTCCTAGTAGAGTTGGCCTTAACAGAACATATAATGAGGTTGATGAACAGAATGTTTTATCAATAGTGTGACACAATAGGTCATTGAGTCAAATTCAATTTAGAACTTCATCTCAATCGCGGAGGCCTTTTTTCGAGTGCTGCGCAATTTGTTGCTTTATTTTAGCTATGCACTTGCTTTGTCTGCACGAGACTCTTCTAAGCGAAAAAGGTTCCGGTTTGATTTTTAATGTTAATCAACGAGAACAGGGAATACATTAATTTGTAACACTCTTTAGATTACGGAAGATAAGAAAAAAAAGAAAGAGATGATGTCAAAAATCTTGCGTGATGCTCGCTTCAGAGATGAGAGCATCGTTATGGAGAAAAGAATATATATTACTCTGCCTCAGGAAAAAGACCATTCGTTTCACCTGACAGGAAAGGTACATTTGTTTTGCATAAAATAAATTACAGTTGTCATACAATACTTCAATAATAGTCACACAGGTAATGCAGTTCCCTATAAAAAATCATAAAGTATAAGTGTAGGTGATAGTATAATTTCGAGTGCAATTACGGATTAATCGACCAATCAGGGTCGAGAAACATTTCCTTGCATATTATTATATATGTTATGTGTTATATAAAATTGAACATTAACATGAATTAAATTCTTCAAATCTATATTCTTAGATCTCTGGACTTCTTCAACCTATTGACGAGAGACTGGTGAAGAAGATACAGGAATTGGTATCAAACGGAGTTAATCGTGTCTCTGAGATGCAACATCACCTGCAATATTACGTGAAGAAGGAAATATTTGCTGGACAACAACCACCAGAAGTGACAAACAGGAGATTCTTCCCTACTAGCGTTGATGTACGGAATCATATGTACAGAGCGACAGTGCAGCAAAGACACTCAAATATTGATCAAGAAAACTTAGAATCCAAAATTAAAGAATGGCAGAAGGAAAATCCAGATGACAAATTCTATTTCCGACCGTACAGCCATGTGAACACCGGCGGAGATGATGGAAAAAGTGATGAAGACGATGGTGATTATGCAAATGAGAATGATCATAGTTGTGATGATGACATCGTTGAAATAAAACAAGAAGACCAATTAAAAAATCTTCTTCTGGTCCACCAAACACAGTGGCAAAGGAAACTTCTCGAGAGATATGGAGGTGATATTTGCCTACTTGATGCGACATATAAAACGTCTCGCTATGCTCTTCCTATGTTCTTCATGTGCGTCAAAACCAATGTCGATTACTGCGTTGTTGCTTCTTTTGTGGTCCAACAAGAAGATGCTAATTCCATTTGGGAAGCTTTGCATATACTGCAAGGTTGGAATCCAAATTGGAACCCCGATTTCTTCATGGTCGATTTCTGTGAAGCCGAAATTAATGCCATTGAAAGACTTTTTCCAAGTAAGGAAATGTTATTATAAAAAATATTTTGTCGATAGTCAATATAATATTGAAGCACAAACTCAAGGCACTGCACTTGCGCAATTAAATTAATCTACAGACAATGTTTTTTCTTTCCAGACTGCCTTGTGTATCTGTGTGATTTTCATCGCGAACAGGCCTGGGTTCGATGGGTAAACAAAGGCAAAAATGGGGTTACAAAAGAACAAAAAGATAAGCTTCTGACAAGATTACGTGCAATGGCAAAAGCTCCTAACGAGGAAGAATTTCAGACAACCCTTACCAATCTCAAGAGTGATGAATTATGGAAAACGAACAAATTATTGCAAGATTGGATGAATAAAACCTGGCTACCAGAAAAAAAAGTGAGTTAGATCAAAGATCAAAGATAAAGGACAACATGCTGTTTCTTTGTAGTCAAACAAGTTTTATCGAAAACGACAATGTATGTACATAGCCTAATATAATCAGCCAAAATGCTTTGTAGGGAAAAGTTGGGTAAATTTGAGGGATGCATATTTTTACGCTCTTCTTATATACGCTTCTTCTTTATTCTCACTATTTAGCGCTGGGTCTGGGCATACAGAAAAGACCGCTTTAATGTAAAAGTTAATACTAACAATGGCGTGGAACGACAGAATAGATCATTGAAGTATCAGTTTCTGGCTGACAACAGAGATAAGACTCTAAGTGGACTGATAAGTGTTGTGGTAACACAGTTTCTCCCCAGCGCCTATAAAAAGTAAGCAAAAATTGAAATATTTTTCATTATATCTTCAAGTCGGAATCCAGATGAATAGCCTAATCATACAATGATCTCTTTAGATATATTGAAAGCAACATCCGTTACGCCAGTGCATATCGCCATTACAACGAATCACTCCCAAAATGGTTGCACAATCGACCAAGACAATTTGTCACACACTGCCAGAAACGTCTATCCCAAGCAGGCACAATGAGCAAATCTAGTATCAGACATGAAGAACACGGCGAGTTTATGGTTGAAAGCCAAAGCAATTGTGGGAAATCCTACAAAGTTCAATTTGGTGATCTTCACACCATGCCATCTTGTAGTTGTTTTGACTGGCAAAAACACCATTGGCCTTGTAAACACTTTTTGGCTATCTACACACATTTTCCGGGATGGGGCTGGGAGAGAATGTCTCCCTCCTACACATCTAGCGCACACTTTACAATAGATTCTTCAGTCATTCCGGTTGATTCACTGCCACCTTCTCATATCACCTCCAAGAGCACATGTAGTTTGGAAAATGTTCTCTCAGTAAACAGAGAGGTACAAACAGTTCCAGATGAGGCAGATAACCCAGAAAACGAATTCAAAGATGAGGATAGAAAGCCATCTGTTAATCCTCAACATGAGGGGAGATGCTGCAGAGAGATGTTGAAAGAAGTTCAAAATCTTACCTATCTTTGTCCTGATGGGAATGCTTTGGTGAAACTAAAAAAAGATCTGCATACACTGATGGAAAACTTTAAACAACACATACCATCAGAAAACGGTCTTTTTATGGAAGCTTCAAAACCAAAAACGGTTTCAAAGAAGCAATCCAAAGAAGTGAAGGAACAGTTAACAAAGCATAAGGAGTATGGCAAGCTTCCTCTTCGATTGAACTTAAAGAGAAAAAAAAATTGTCTTATAGATGCTTTGTCTCCAGTAAAGAAACAAAAGAAAGTGATTCCTTCGCTAGAACTGGATATCAGTGATATGATAAAAGAACAAAACAAGTCACAAAATGATATAACAAATGATAAAGAGGAAAATTTTACAGCAGAACAGTCCAGTTCCCCGGCATTCACATGTAGTCAATTAATTTCTGCGCCATTAGGGGATTCTATTGGTAATTTTGAAGAAGAGAAAAATGCTCTTGCTGAAGACCTGCAATGTTTGCCAAATGCCTCAGAGAGTACCAACATGCTTAGGTGCAATGAACAAGGAAAAACATTTATCCTCATAGATGAATCCTCACCAGATCCAAAAGCATGGTTAAGCCTCAATGACCCTGACTGCCCAGGTGCAATGATCACACTGTACCAAGCTTCTAAAAAGAACATTTTAGATAAGAAAGGATGGCTAACTGATTCTGAAATGCATGCTGGACAAGTATTGCTTCAGACAGAATTCCCCCTGGTGGACGGCCTTTGTGACCCTGCAGTTAAAGGTGACTTGGTTACACCAGCAATCAGTGAGTTTGTGCAAATTGTCAACACTGGGGCCCACTGGGTTTGTATGAGTACAATATCATCTGGTCCTGGTACTGTCAAAATTTATGATACTCTTTACAACACAGCAAATTCAGTTGCAATACGCCATGCCTGCCATATGCTCATGTACACAGGTGAAGCAATATTGTTTGTCAACGAGAGAGTTCAAAGACAAATCAATTACAATGATTGTGGCCTTTTCTCACTAGCCATTGCAACAGATTTATGCAATGGTATTAATCCATCTACTCAATCATATGACCAACAAGGCTTACGACAGCACTATGTCAACTGTTTGGAGTCCAGAAGAATGGCTTTGTTCCCAAAGACTACCCGAAGAGTACCACGTCATCTAGGCTCCACAAGAATATCTGTTGCAATCTACTGTGTCTGCAGGATGCCTAATGACAAGAAGGAATATGTACAATGTTCAAATTGCAATGCTTGGTTTCACCCATTGTGTGTTGACATCCCTGAGTGGGCTATCAAGACTAAAAGAAAGTGGAGATGTGATACATGCAAAAGCAAGCAAGTAAAGAGACCATATCTGCATTAGTGTACCAATGGAGACTGAATACTTATTTAGTAAAATAATGTGATTTTATTGATGTTATGTATTTTGTGGTTACATGATACTTTGATAGATGTAGTGAATATTAAATATTTAATATAGAAAGGGCCTATCTATGGATATAAATACTTAAATAGGATCATCAACTTATAAATAAAACAACAAATATATAAGTACCTTCAATATAATTGTCGTTACATGATGCTGATGCCAAAAAACAATAAAAAAACTTAATTGTTAATGTTTATAATTTCATAGGCAGCCCCAACCTCGTACCCAGGGTCTTTACTCGTGGGGAGAAAAGACCCTGGTTGCCGCTGGTCACGTGGCACCCAGATTCTGGGTGCTAAATTGAAATTTTCCTGTGGGAGGGGTGGGAGAGGAGCGTACGTTTGTTATCGGAAAATTTTCCTCGTAGTATTGTGTTTTGTCCTTCGCAAAAAGAAAAAATATACATAGTTCACGCTTGAAGATTTTGTGTTATTGCAATTCAATAACACTGCCATGGCCTCAGAAGAATGGAGTATTAAGTTACATGTTAATCATGGAATTAGATCAAATTTCAAAAGAATACTCATTCAGTTTTCGCCAATGGCTAGTAAAGGCACGCCAAAAAAGTACTACAAGAATCCATCTAAATCGTCGGTCAATATCTCGCGCTGCAGACTCTGTAATTCTGTTGGTGATCCGAGGCATTGTAAAGGTTTGTTTCGGGACTCTAACGTCGCGATTTTACGTGACGTTGAGACTATTTTCGGCGATAAGTTGCCACAAAGTAGCAACCTTCCGCACTTGATCTGTCGGCCATGTGAGAGAAGACTAAAAACTGCTATACTGTTAAAGAAAACAATTTACGAAACGCAGCAACAACTACAAGAAGAAATCCGTGCCAAACGTTGTGTTGAGATATCGCCGTCGGTCGATAAACCAGCACCCAAAGTTCGAGCAACTGGGATTACGCGTCGACGCAGTATTGATTTTGACATCGCTACCTCTGAAAGCGCAAGTCCTACAACATTACCTTCACAAGTAAGTGTTCTTTATTTTGCGTGTAATGCTGTTTAATTCTAGTATTTTGATATTTTTCTTGTAGAATATTTAGCGCTATTAATGAGGCGTGATATTCACAAATGATTAATATTTAATCATGGTCATGAATAATAAGATCTATATTTGGTTCATACTTCATAGTAATTTTAATTTATAGTGAAATGTTTCGAAATTGATATCTTTTAAAATATATTCTAATTTGCCTATTTAAAGGAAGGTGAATTATTGGATTTGGCTAAGGCAAATCAAGAATTGATTGAGGTTGCCAGAAGAAGTGAACCATCTGTTCTCAGGCAAATATCCTATGATGGTATGTCAGATGAGGGTTGGATGTCGGAAGTGTTAGAAGAGATGGCAACCAGATGTCCAGTTGTGAACAAAATACTGCTATCTCTGATAGAAAGCAGCATCTATCCGGGGAAGAAGAATCCTGGCATCTGCTTAATTTATGGCATCATAATGTTCTTAAGATGCCATGAATTGAGTAGAATTCAGAGAATAAACTCGGTTTTGTTGGTACAAGGTCAAGCATCTGTTAATGTAAGTCATTACATTTTCATGCCCAAGTAATTTTTTGTGTTGTTAAATATGTTATGAAATATAAAGTAATCTAAATACTTAATTAAGCCCTCTGATTAAAACTATCCATATTGGAGCCACATCAACAGTATGAAAAATTGCTATGAGACAATGAATTCTGCTTAACTGCTGTAAATAAAATTGCTTAGGCTTCTAGCTTTAGGCAGTTGCCAGGCAGTTAAATCAATTTTGTGCATGTGTGGCCAAATGAACGAGATCACCAATGCACTGATAGGATATGCCATATGCATGGTTAGGATTTACAAGTGTTTAGTAAATAAAGGGTTTTTAGCATATGTAGTCAGGTAATACTGAAATTATTTTACACACAGGCTCATCATGTCCTTCATTGTACTGTAACACTAACAGCTGACTTAACTAAATATTACCATTCAATTCTGTTTGTGTATTTAGAACCAAAAATTCTGAATTTGCATTCTTATTGAATGCTGTACCTGTTTTAGAATGATTGACAACTGATCTTGTAGCCTTGTATGTGATTCCTGATTCTTTTGTACCTTTCCCCAGAATTCAACATTTGTTTTTTGATCATCTGTTATTTAGTGTATTGCCAAATTGAATAAATATGGGCTATGTCTTGAGCCCACCAAAAAGTACAAGATCCTTGACGATGTTGGAAAACATTTACTTGACCGTGCCACAGAGCTAGTGAAGTCTGGTTACAAGTTTGTCTACGTATTAGACAATATCGACTGGGAAGAAAAAGCACATGATATGAGGCAGGATATTCAAAACCGTAGCGTTCATGCAGTTGCTTCCAGTATTGTCTTTAATCGAGTACCAGACCAAGGCTTTTCTGACTCTGGTCCACAGCAGGATCTCAGGAAAATCAATGCCAGGGATGTGGTGGCTGTAAATGATTCAGAGCTAAAAGAGATACGAAGTCGGTACCAGGTCATCATTGCCAAAATTTTGTTTGAACATTTACCATCCTTCGCCATGTTTCAACCATTTACCCCTCAAACCACCAAATGTGTTTATTCCAAAGAATTATCCGAAAAATCTGAGGTTGTCACAATGCCAGTACTTATGAAAGATGAAAAGAAATACTCGGACTGTGTTGATGTTTTGGACCAACTTGAGAAGTGGACTCGTGAAATATATTCATCAGCTGGACTGTGTGCACCAGAGCCTGAAGAAAACTGTGAAAGTACACCTGCAATTGGAACAACATCAAGACCTGATCAACCTGCCTCACATGTCCCACCAGCTGCATCTGAGAGTGATCCATTGCATGGTGTGAAAGTACCATGCTTTGGAGATCAACTCACCCGTGTTAGATTTGCTGGGGCAAAAGATTTACGTGCTGGGTGCCATTCAGCCAAGCAGAGGTTGGATCATCTCTATCCCTTTTGCATTGTTGACTGGCATACGAAGAGAAGTTATCTTAAGGTATTGTAGTGTATAATTGTCTACTCCTATAATTATTTTGCGCCTGTAGTTTTTTTGCACCCATGATTTACACTGGTCTCTGCAAAATTAATGTATCAACACTGGTACTGCAATTGGGTAGATTGTGTCGAATACTAAACAGGTATGTCCTTGGAATATTTGTCTTCTAATATTTCATTTACTGCTTTTCAGACTGTTTTAAGAAATTATATCTCAATTCTGGAAGGGAAAAGGGTACACTTCGCTTCTTCAGGGAAAAGCTAAACAGGAGAAATGTTACAGCTGATGTCAAACACTATGAGGATTGTGAGCAGCTGTTTTTCAGTGTTGGTAAGTGTTTTGTTATCGAAGCCCTTTTGGAGTTTTTCCAAATGGGTGATGCAAAAACAAGCCAACAGCAAACGGTCCTCATAGTGTTTATGTTCTCAGTGAAGAGTACCAGAAGAGCTACCTCAACAATCCCTGGACAAATTCCTCAATGAGTATGTTTTTGTGGTGATGATGAGACTGTGGCAACTGATGATGAGACTACGTTATCTGGTGATGATGAGACGACTGATGGTGTTTGGGCCTACAGTAAAACATCTTGAAGTCATTCCTTCTGCTGGCAGATATAAAGGATGCTGTTGCAACAGGTAATGGTGAGTACCTGTGTGTGTTAAGAAAGCAGCTGTTACAACATTTCTTTTCCACTTCTGGTTTTAATGAGTTTGCAATTGAAATGTTCATCAATATTTTGCAAACCAAAGTCCTCTTATCAGAAGCTGAAGCCCATAGATGCAAATGGGCTGCTACTGTTAATTGGAAAGGTGGGAATGGAAAGAACATTGAAATTGATCTATTTCAAGAGAACCGCAACTGCGAGATGAAAAAACTGATTCGTTCTATGGGGGCTAACAAAACTGAAAAGGCAATCGAAAGGGCAAGCAAAGCATCAGGAGGAGTTTCGAAAATTGTGGAGGCATTCGAAGGTCAGGTGAATATTCGACCAAAGTCATCAGGCCACACACACAAGTCGTCAGCTGATGATGAACAACTGATAGGGAAAGATTTGAGGGCATTAAGACCATTTAGGAAGGAAGAGGGTAGGATGTTTGAGACAATTGGAAATATCTCGTGTGATCCACTACACTCATTCAATGAAGAAAAATTCAAGGAATAGATTGACAGGCATAAGAACAACATTCTCATGCATTACCCAGTGTTTGATGACAGAGAACAATCAACTGAATGATTAATTTTAAAATAAAAACATTATAATAGCACTTGTGCAGTGTTTTTTTATGCTATTGTCTTTACCTGCAACACTTACGTGATGCAATATATTTGCTTTACACCAAAATGAGGTTTAGTGATGAAGACAATAACATAAGGGAAAACCTGCAGAAGTACTATTGCTATATTTGGGGGAAATTATTTGAGACTGAACCATTTGAAACCCATCACCTCCTAATACAATTTAACTACCATATCACAATTTAACCATGGTACACATATGCCAGATTGATATACTCATTGGCACTGGCACTGTTCTGTTGTTGAGTGATATATTCTACCAGTAAAATACTAAAGTAAGGTCTGTCTGGGTGCATTGGGACTCAGTGGTTTCACTGGATTCATTAGTGTGTAAATAGACTTATATGTATTATGCCATATATTAAACTTTGTTACATATAAGATAATTTAATTTAATACTTTTAGTATATACAGTTGTTGTCAAAAAGGTTGTATATATATATACAGCCGCTGTCATTAATGTTGTCCAAATCAGGTATATCAATATACCTGTCATGTGACTTATTGGTATGCACCAACTCGAGTGTGCTTGCTATGTAAATATATCTGCTATGCGGGTGCTTCATACATTTACATATCAAGCACACTCGAGTTGGTGCATACCAATAAGTCACATGACAGGTATATTGATATACTTGATTTGGACAACATTAATGACAGCAGCTGTATATATATATATTTACATATTTATTTATACATATTTATACACTTAATACATTTTAGCTTAATCGGATTCTGAAGTTTCTAATAAGCACATAGTGCATGTACAATGTTCCTCACACACATTGCAACAAAGGTGTAATGGCTTGCAAAGAGTACTTTGTTCATAGTCCAAAGACTTTAACAGCAACTTTCTCAGACACTCATTCTCACTCGAACAAAAGTTACGCATATCGTCTTGCATATCAACTCTATTCTTACCAATATCTCTGTTATTGTAATATAGGCTAGCTGTTGATGGCTTGCCATCCCTTCCAGCACGCCCAGTCTCTTGAAAATATGCCTTGACTGAATATGGAGGTCCAACATGAATCACCTGACGTATATTAGGTATGTCCACACCCATTCCAATGGCAACAGTTGCAAAAACCACCCGAATAATACTTCTTTTTGAGCAAAGCTGTTTCAAAATCTCTTCTTTCATTTGGTCAGTTTGTGGTGCATGGAACTGAGCAAACAACCTATTTGATGGGGTTGGTTTAGCACCTGGAGGGTAATACTGTTGGGGACCAAGAATATGCTCAAACAATTTATATGCAAATCCACATATCTCTAAGGGTGTATACACAATTGTTAAAGGATATTGATTCTTTTCTTGGAGAAGACCAATTGCAATTGGCTCCAAAATAGACTTGACAGCATCAATGTCTTGTCCAGATCGAAATATTTTACTGTAAAAATATTTTTCCTATCTGGATTGGCAACAATAGAAATGCAATTTTTCAATCCAAGTGAGTCCTGAATAGCCTTCATGTCCATCCTATTAGCTGTTGCAGTCATGGCAAGACATGGGACATCTGGGAACAATGCACATAATACTCCCAGTTTTCCGTAATCTTTCCTAAAGTCTTTCCCCCTACAGTACGAAACAAAAATATCATAGAATTTGTTTAGTGAAGCATCCATTTTTTTCCAGATGGCTACCCAAATTTTACACATGGTATACTAGAAAATCTGTTTACTAATATTGGAATTTTCATTTTTCAAAATACTAACCATTCCACTATACAATGAGCCTCGTCTACGACAATAGCAACAACATTCTCTTGGTAGATATTGCTCAGCAATAATTCCCGTCCATATTTACTGGAAATCAAAGTCTCTGGATGCGCAAAAACAATGTTATAAGCTCCAACACGTAAATTGTTCTCTTCGCACAGACTGAAATCGACATCTACATCATCGTTCATATATTCCTCGTCAGAATCAAGTTCCCGACTTCTCGGCTCTTTCACATTCAAAACGGACGCTCGGATTCCACTCGTACTTAAGCGAGATATTTGGTCACTCGTCAAGGAATTAAGAGGCGATACAACGATGACTATTGAATCTATCTGTTCCGTTGAAATACTCGATTTCGAACTAGAACCGCGCAATTTATGTTTCGCGAACAACAGTACAGGCGTAAGATGGAAGATCAGAGATTTTCCATATCCCGTTGGTAAAACGCACATAACATCCTTTTGCAAGTAAATACTCTCAAGACAGATAACTTGCTTTGGTTTTAAGGTAATTTTTTTATATAAACTATTTAAAACCGCAAATTCCAAGCACGAGAAAAAGGCAATGTATTCCAACATGGCGACGACAGCAGAAATGACAGCTAACAAGTGGAAGCATGTAATATGATACTTTCTCCACACCCTGAGGCGATGCAATTTTTATAGGCCACGTGACCAGCGGCAACCAGGGTCTTTTCTCCCCACGAGTAAAGACCCTGGGTACGAGGTTGAGGCAGCCCCGGTTATTTCGAGAGTTTCCAGTTTAATTTCGAATTTATTAATTACCGCTGATAATATATTTAATGATTGCAGGCTCAAGGGGCTTTAGTCGATCCTATCCACTGAGCTATATAATAATTCCTGGAGGACCGGCTCGCTGCCAAAAAGTGTAACAGAAAAGATGGCGGATTTTCAGCTTTGCTGACGCCACATGGTCCCCTTTGCCCATGGTAATTACCACTGACATACCGCGATACAAAGTCAAAAACTGTGTCCATCACCCTCCCGATTTTTTACTGTTATCAGTTTTTGAATATTTTTTTATTCATCTTTCCCGTTTTTCACTAAATTTAAAAAATGCCTAAGTTTTGCTGCGTTTTTGGTTGTCATAATTCCTTCTCAAAGGAGAATATTACCTCCCACCGGTAAGATATTTATGCAATTTCTTTATTTTGTAGTTTTTATTGCAAAAAAACACGATATTTTTTCACACGTAAAAGGCAATGGCGTCATTTTTTGTACACTCAGAAATAGCTGTAATAAATTATGGGTTGAATTTCTTTAACTTTTGAGATAATTTGCATTACATCATTGTGTTTTGACTGTTTTTCGTTTTCAATGTATTTCGTGACGGCAAGTTTAATTTAGCTAAATTATAAATAAGCTTAATAAATTATGCAGTGTGATATCATTTTTTATTCAATAGCTCTAAAATCAAATTTACAAAAACATGTACAAAATGCATACTTGATATACTACATAAATAATATATATTTAACATGCATACTATAAAATTTGAATTAAAAAACCTTTAATTGCATGGTGCTAGGTATTTATTAACATACTACTTTAACATTGAAATATAGTTTTCCTGATGCTGAGAGGAGTCCTGAGTTACATGCCTTATGGATGGAGAATATAAACAAGAATGCTGCTGTTGAGTTTACTCCAAATAAGGGAAGTCGTGTCTGTTCCGAACATTTTAGTGTGGACATGATGCAAAAAGTTGGGCAAAGGACAATGCTGTTGCCATATGCTATCCCAACAATATTTCAGAAGTCTCAGGTTTGTACCTCTTTTAAATTAGTGAACAAGTAAGATTATAATTTTCTAATTAGACTCCACTCCAAGAGCTGCATGTTAATAACAACTGTATAGTGAAGATCATTATGTGAGGCAAAGTTCATTAACATTAAAAATAAATTGTCACACATTTTAGCTCAATGACAATTGTCACACTTTTTAGTTGCAAACATACATAAGTTTTTTCTGGTCACCTGCAATGCATATAGTGTTGTCACTATGAATGTATAACTTGATAGTGCATGAGTACCATTTTGTCTTGTATGTCTTGTGGCATAGATGATTTTCATTGTGTTATCAATATTAAATTTAACATTTCTGTCAAGGAAACACAAAGTGTGAAATGTGTAGAGGTTGCATCGAAAGATATTGCAAGTTGGATGTCAGACAGAGATTGTGTGAGTATGGAAGAGGTAGCTGAACATATAGTAAGCAAAGACAGTGCAGGAGATACAACAACTGAGAGTGTTGGTAAAGTAGTTGTTCAGGGTGTCACTGATAAGGTAAGCTCTTGTAATGTAAGTGTACAGGGTATAACAAAAGAGGTTATTACTGATGATGTAATTGCACATGGAAGAAAAAGAAAGCCTTCAGATGAAGACTTTGATGAGATGCTTATTAATGGGGTAAGTACTCCAAAAAGAATACACATGAGTCATGTGAATCATGATCACACCTACCATATCAGTAAATCCCCTCGTAGAATGAAGAAACATGTAGACAATCTTGTAAACAAAATGACTAAATTGCAGAACAAGTGTAATGCATCAAAGCAAAAGACAAGAAGGCTAAAGAGAAAGGTTAGCACTTTGGAGTCAGTGGTAAGTGAACTGAGGCAGAGTAATCTTATAAATAGTGATTGCGCTGCGATTTGGAAACAACCTTTTCCGGAGTTCCAAAGGAACTGATGAAGAGGTTAGTGTCGCAAAAGAAAAGCAAAAATCCTGGGGCGTATCCGCCCGAGCTAAGGTCATTTGCTCTGACCTTAAAATTTTATTCAACGAAGGCGTATAATTATGTTCGGAAGAGTTTTCAGCTCGGGCTGCCACACGTATCTGTGATCCGATCGTGGTATACTTCGATGGATGGTGAACCCGGTTTCACGAAAGATGCCTTGACAGCTTTGAAAGCTACGGTCATCGCTGCAAAAAGAAAAGGTGAGGAAGTTGTTTGCGCTCTCAACTTGGATGAGATGTCCATACGCAAGCATGTCGAGTGGGATGGGCAAAGAATGCGTGGGTATGTCGACCTCGGAACGGGCATTGAAGACGACTCTCTTCCTGAGGCAACCGATGCTCTTGTGTACATGGCTGTATGTGCAAACTCAAGTTGGAAAATACCCTGTGGATATTTTCTAGTAAATGGACTCACTGGTGAAGAGAAGGCCAACTTAACGAAAGAATGCATTCGAAAATTGCATGAAGTCGGGGTGAAGGTGATTTCTTTCACATGCGACGGTCCATCGACCCACCAGGCGATGTTAAAGGAGCTCGGCGCAATTCTTACACCTGATAGCCTGCAGGCGTATTTTCCGCATCCGTGTGACCCAGAGGCCAAGATCTACGTGTTTCTGGATGCCTGCCACATGATAAAGTTGGTGCGAAACACAATGTCGGACTGGCAAGTTCTGAAGGATGAAGATGGCAACACCATCCAGTGGCAATTCATCGATAAATTGCATCAGTTGCAAGAATCGGAGGGTTTGCATCTCGCAAATAAGCTCCGGGCAGCGCATATCAAATGGAAACCACAGAAAATGAAGGTAAACCTTGCGGCACAGGCCCTCAGTTCGAGTGTCGCGGATGCTTTAGAATACTGCGAAGGTAAGCTGAAATTGCCACAATTTCAGGGATGTGGTCCGACAGTGAAGTTCATTCGTGTTTTTGATCGTCTCTTTGATGTTCTGAATTCCAGAAACCGGCTGGCGAAGAATTACAAAGCGCCAATCAGGAGATCGAATTATCAGTACACGAAGAAGTTTCTGGACCAGGCGAGTGCGTACATCCGAAATCTGAAAGGTCCTGATGGTAGATCGATTCTCAAGACAAAAAGAAAGACCGGGTTTATTGGTTTTCTTATTTGCATCAAAGCTGTGTTGGGATTGGCCGACGATCTGGTTATGACGGAGAAACCAGTGCTAAAGTACCTCTTGACGTACAAGATGAGCCAAGATCACTTGGAGTTGTTCTTCGGTGCTGTGCGAGCATGCGGAGGATGGAATAATAATCCAACCACACGCCAGTTTGTAGCAGCGTACAAGCAACTGCTGATGAGACACAATATTGAAGGAGGTCGTGGAAACTGCGTTGCTCAAGATGACACGCAGATATTAGACTGCGTCAAAGACCAGTGTGAAATTGAAGAGACGCCGACTGGGATCTCAGACGTAGCGATTGCAAGGCGATACGACCTGGAGTTAAGAGAGCCAGCTGCCGTCGATCATGACTACTGTGATGTGTCTAATGCCATTGAACTGTCTGAGTACAAGGAGGCTGCAATATCGTATATTGCTGGATACGTCTCGAAGATGGTGACGAAAAAGATCCATTGCACACAATGTACAACGGTTCTGACGACGACGAAAGAGAACATACCGGACTTGTTCGTAACATGGAAGACGAATGGGGGTTTAAAGCTACCGTCACACGGACTGATTAAGATTTGTGAAGAAACGGAGAAGTGCATTATGAGAATGCTGAATGCTAACCAAGGTGGTTTACCTCGTAGCGCTGGACTATCAGGAGCAATTGCGAAGACGGTGCTGGAAACATGTGTGAAGCGCGCGGTGTTTAGCACGTTGGACCAACACATGTTTGACTCAAGTGCAGTGGACAACCACATGTTTACTCTGATAAAGTGCTGTTCTCAGAGTTATGTCACGATTCGAATGCATCATTTATGTAAGTTGAGGAATGCAAGTATGCATGAGAAGGTAATACGAAAGCAGTTTTCAAAGCTTGTGTTGTTCAAACACCAGTAGAGTTGACACGTGACCTGGGCACCCTTTTGGTGCTTTCGAGGTTTGCCTGTATGCCTTGGAATGCAATGTCAATGTAACTGACCATGTCCTGATGGCCATTTTAAATTGCAAACAATTGAAATTTCATAATCTCTTTCTATTTATATCAATTAATTTTCTACATCTTTACGAAAATTACGAAAGACCTCATTTCTCAATATTTCAGTCATAGACATTGTATTTTTCGAAGGTTGGGCGTATCCTGGCACAATCATTTGTGTTTCGAGGAAGAGTGTGCATTGTTGAGAATGCATGGTCAACGGAACCTGCACATTTTAGATGTGGCGAGGGGTTGACAAAGTAACGTGTGTATGGTGTTTGACAAATGATAATAGTCAATTAATATTTGACAGATGAACAAATTATAAATGTATTGATATGTCACTAGAGGTAAATATTGTTTTTGTTTTTTACTTTTCAATGTGTTTGCATCCATGCAGTTCTGTCATTAATTTTGTATTTTTTGTTATTTTTTATTAGACTAAGAACAACTGAAAAGATTTAACTACAACCATAAAAGAAATTATTTAATATTACTATTATTATTATTATTAGAATGTACAAATTATATTTATAGATATCAGATGAGCTAATTTAAACTTTTAAATAGGAGTATGACCACATGCACAGAGACAAGGGCAATATACTAATAATATGTTAATGTTTGGCTAGCCATGTAGATATTCCATCTTTCTTGACATCTTCCTGAGTTGTCCAAAAAAAATTAAGGCATTGCATTGCAGATGGAAGATATTCCTCAATCCTCACTTGGTATACTCTTTGTTCAATATTGTAACCAAAAATTGTTGAAGAATATGTTGTGGTATGATCACACACTGACTTTATGCTGGACAAGAACAAGAAAATCTCATCAATCACGACAATCGAGTCGCGCTGAAATAATACAGATCTCAATTGAATGGTCAAAAAATTTATTGTCACATCACCATTTGATGATACATCGACCAGTGATATCACATTCTATGAAACAAAATCATGGAGAAAACACAATCAAGAAAAACAGTCCAGTCAACTATTATTCTTGTTGTCAAAGTAGCATGATGCCATTTCTGGCATTTCATTATACATGAACCAATGATACCACATAATGTGAAAATCTTGTTAAACACATCAACAAAATCATGGAGAAAAGATAATCAAGAAAACCAGCTGTCAACAATATATATTCCTGCTGTCGAAGTATCATGATTGATGCCAATGAAAGACACTGGTTGTACATAATCAAAATTTAATTTACCATCACTCGTGTGGAGGAATTGAGTGTCACAGAGACAATGGAGTTCAGGGTGTCACAGAGAGAATGGTTTATATGCTTTGGCTGCAGTTAAACATTGCATGACAGTGTGAATTTGTAAAATATAGCTATACTGTAATACTGACATTAGTTTATATTGCACAAAATTCCTTTCTGTTCATATATATTTTTGTAACAGCAAATTGTTTTATACACTTCATATTTTTTGAGGCAATACCAGAGGTGTAGCTGGGGAGGGGGCTGGAGATGCCTGGTAAAATTTTGGGGCCCTCCTGGGAAAATGAAGTGAATCATTGTTATTCCATCAATAATGCAAAATACCTGTATCTGATCTGGCCTGTCGAAGTTGCATGTCCATCTTTCATGTCACAAAATCATTCATAGAATGTTTAGCACAAATCTTGTCTCGAGTCACACTACTGCCCGCCTAGGTTTTTGCTAGCCCCTCCCTTCCCTAAAATTCTGGCTACACCTTTGGGCAATATATACATTGTAAATTGTGATTATAGTATATTATTAATTTATTATTATTATATTATTGCAAAGATGTAGTTATTAAATTATATATGATTTAATGTTAATTTATAGTACATGGCTTAATTTACACTTTCTAGCTGTCATGGGTAATTCAAAATTGAGATCTAATGTGTTAATTAAAGCCTACAATTATGTTCCTCTTTAATACTTTCAAGGTATACAATTAATACAAGGTAAAAAATACTAGCAGGATTTTATTGTGTTATAATAAAGGTCAGGGATTACAGCCCAGGGTTAAGATAAAATTATATTATATTATTTGACAAACTTGTAAAAAATCCCTTTAATGGACATTTTAGTTTACAAATATGCAGAACAGAGAACCATGCAGTTGTCAGTACTGCACATATTTGAATGGTTTATTTAACATTGTTTTGCAGTGTAAAGACCCGAAATTACCAAGTCCGACGACAATGAGGTAGATGAAGGTAGATGTTATTTTCAATGATAAAGCATTAAGCATATGTTTTTTTCACATAGAGAATAATAATACAGGATCAGGAGGACCCTCCTATGGTATTAATATTTTTCTACTTTTATGTTAAACTATGCAAGTTGTCTGGACTAAAACTATATTTACCATGGATATTCTATTTAAAAAGAAATACATTCAGTCGTACTAAATGATGCCATGAAATCTGTAATGATGATAATGATGATGATGATGATGATGAAGATGATGAAGATGATGATGATGATGACGATAATCAACTATAACTTTTGTGTTTACTTATAGCAGAGACTTTATCAATTATTGACAATTGTATTAATACTATTTTAAATAACCAACCACCTGATACTAGAAACTTGAATAAATCATGAATATTTATATATTATATGAAATCTCTATATTAGCCTTTCTCACAATGACATTTTTGGGGTACTTTCAATTTTCTCAAATAGGTTTAAAAAATTATAACCACCTGAAAAGCATCAACAGACCATTTGAGGAATAAAAAGCATATTCATCATTGTGGGAAAGCATAATTAAACTTTGACATGTGTAAGAGTTATCAGAGGAATATTAAAACTTTCAGAATCCTAAAAATTGGAAATTTTGATCATTTTAGTCAATT